GAGATAGATAGCGTGTTTATATACAGAAAATGTTGATCTATATATATATATATATATATATAATTTAAAAAAACTGTGCTTTGTTTGCTTTTTTCTGAATTTTTTTGTATGGATATCCTCTTTATATATATACACTATAACACCGATAGATACACATACACACAGACAAACAAACAAACGAAACTAAACAAACAAACTGAAATATACACATAAGCAGACAAGCACACAAAAAAAAAGGAAGAAACATGCAGCTGTCTCCGTGCTGTCTTCGTTGTTCCTCTCCGGTTCAGCAGCTGCTGCAGCTGCAGCAGCAAATTCACTTCTTGCTGCTGCAGTGTACAGACAAATACCCTTTTTATTTTTTTTGTTGTGTGCTGCTGTGCATGCATGCTGCAGCTATCTACCTGAAACTCTAACTCTAACAAACCAGGAGATACGCCCGCAGCATGTGCAGACCAGCGGCGGCTGCTGCTAAGTATATTTCTCTTGCTGCAGCAGCAGCAGCNGCAGCAGCAGCAGCAAGCCCAGGGAGAGGCCGTCTATCTATTGTTGCAGCGGCATGGTATGTTTTGCTGCTTGCTGTCTGTGGTGTTGTCTTGTGTACTGGTGCTGCTTTCATCTGCATGCACTGCATGCATTGCATGCATTCAGGGGCCGCAGCAGCACCTCCGGGTTGTGGGGCCCAGGGCTGCTGCTGCTGCTGCTGCTGCTGCTGCTGCTGCTGCGCATGCATTGCTGGGGTGACGAGTTCACAGCGTTTATCGAAGGGTTTCCCTGCTTTGTTTGCTGAAGCTGACGACAGCAATTTAGGAAATAACAAATAAGCTCGCGGTCTAATTAAGTATAAAAATACAAATAAATAGATAGCATCCACATGCAGGACGATACGCTTTTACTAGCTGTATATACACCTGAAGTAACGGTGCACATACATACACATACAGTACAGTACAGAGAGGCTCTAAGAGAGTTCCTTTTCCCTCTCTCTCTCTCTCTCTCACTCTCTCTCTCTCTCTCTCTCTCTCTCTCTCTCTCTCTCTCTCTCTCTCTCTCTCAGCAAACACTACTTCTTTTCTTCTTTTTGTTTTTGAACTGCGCCAGCTGTTTTATGCTGGTTAAATAGGCCGCACAGACGTCATACGGATGTTCATAGTTTATGTATGCTGAGACTCTCTCTATCGTTTGTTTCGGCAAAGAGCGAAGCTGCTGAGGGGGAGGGGAACAGAGTTGATGCACGCGGGAAAATTCAAAGGTTTCGTTCGTGTGGTGTACATACACCGTGATCTGAAACGGGGTTCTGCAACAGCATAAGCCTCTACCTAGAACGTGCAGTTTCAGGGTTTCTGTCTACAGCGAGAGCACTTTGTGCGTCAGTAGTTTTCTCGGTTTATGCTGGAGAATAATATATAATAAGTAATGCAAGTTCGTCCATGAATACTACTAGTTGATGCGTTTACCTAAATGAGAGGAACATGAATGCCTATCGGGATAACACGCTGGGAAACAATAACGCTAAACGTTGCTACGAAGAGAAGACAGAGTTTCGAGTTGAGAAAAGAACAAAAAAAAGTATTCTCAAGACGAAAATATCCGGGATTTTTCGCGAAGATCAATGCAGTTGCACTTGCACATATTTGGGGTGTACGTGCAGCTCAGGCGACAGCGACGGTAGCTGAATCCGACGTCAGAAGTTGAGTTGAATTGCGGCAAAGAGGAAACTTCTGTTCATGAATACCCTTTTATGATAATAAAACTCCTTTTATATTAAATAAATAAACAAGAAACGAAGAGTTTTAGCGTTGATGCCACCCTGGACTGGTCTACCTCTCTACGAGCACCACTGAAGCTTTCGGTCGATAGCATCTCGCCGCCTCTCCCGATGCTGATCCTGCGGGGTAACTTGCACAAAGTCTTCGAAATAAAGTTGTAAATTCCTTTTTAAACAATTTCCCCACAAAGTTTTTGCATGCAAAGCCTCAGCTCCCCCAGACGAGAGTTTCTGTACAGCTCCGGGCTCGCTGTGCTGAGACGGTCGACGGACTTGGGGTGAGGCACCGGCCTCTCTTTTGCAGTGTCTGCCGCTTTAGGCAATATAATTAGATTTAATTTCCTAATTTCAACAGAATATTCTTCTGTGCGCTGCTCAACCCGCCACGGCTGCTCGCGACCGCCCCGGGGCAACTGAACGGGAGAGGAGTGGTCGTACAGCCAATCGACTTGCAGCAGCAGCAACAAGAGAAGCGGAAGCAGAAGGATCAGCAGCAGAGATGAGCAGCAAGCTAGGAGGGTGTTGGGGAGTTTCAGTTCCCCTTTGGTGGGGTGTATGCACGTTATGAAGAAGCAGACAAACACCAACACCCCCTCGGTCTCTGTCTCTGGGTCTCAGGCTCAGCCGTCACCTTCTTCCTTCACTTTACCTCTCCAGGCTTACAAGCCTTTCAAAAGACAGCCTCCAGCTCTCCCCCTTTCATCAGCAGCAGCAGCTGCTGCAACAGCAGCAGCTCCAGCTGCAGCTGCAGCAGCAGCAGCAGCTGCTGCTTCACCGCAGCAGCACCTCGTGCCTCGATGCGTTTCTCCTCTTCTGCATCCCCCCATCAACAACAAAGCAGCTGCAGCAGCAAAGCGGTTCAATACTTCTGGCTATCCTCAGGTGCACAGACGCAGCAGAAGCGCCTGTATTACCCCTTCAGCAGCAAGCAGCAGGGGGGGCCCCAGCAGCAGCAAGATGTCTATACACCGCGTGGCTGCAGCAGAAACCCAGGGCTTCTTGCGCGCAAAGATAGCAGCAAAGGAGCAGCTGTGTTCTGAGGTTATAGGGGAAAACCAAAAGCTCATCAGACACCTCGAGGAGACCAAGCTGCAGCACAGACAAACTGTAGAAAAACTCAAAGCGTGAGGCCTAAACCCTAAACCCTAAACCCTAAACCCTAGATTGTTTAGTTTCTAGGGTTTAGAAAGCGACAGCACCCGTTTCAGGTGTATGGACAGCTTGCTAGTGAATCTAACACTGTTTGTATTTTTCTTTCGTTTCTTCTTTTCCCGCTGCTATGCATGCATATTCTGTACCTGCATGCAGCAGCAACTCCAGTACATTTGCGCTTAAACTTTTCTTTCTTTTGCTGCTGCTGCTGCTGCTGCTGCTGCTGCTGGTGCTGGTGCTGCTGCAGGGAGGCCGCCGCCGTGGTGCAGCAGCTGCTGGCTGACACAGCTGTATACCGAGACACGAACGACAACCTGCTGAGAAAGCTGCACTTGCAGGAGCAGCAAACAGCAAACGATGCGCTGCGGGCCCGCCAGGCAGAGAGACGCAGCCAGGAGGCGGAGGAGAAACTCTTCGTTTTGAAACGGTAAGCAGCAGCAACTGCAGCAGCAGCAACAGCAGCAGCAGCAGCAGAAGCAGCAGCAGCAACAGCAGCAGCAGCAGCAGCGGCAGGGGCAGTGCCAGTGTCACAAGAAGCAGCGGCAGCTTCATAAAGATATGATGCTTCTTTTTGTTTCTCGTTGCATGCACGGCTGTCTGCTGTTGCTGCTGCTGGTGCTGCTGCTGCTGCTGCTGTTGCTTCTGCTGCTGCTGCTGCTGTTGCTGCTGCTGCTGCTGCTGGGTTGGTATTGTTGCTCCTTGCTGTTGTTCACTGCCCCTCTTTGCTTCTTCTGCATGCTGCAGCAGCAAAACAAGTGTTGCGTGTTTCAAAGCTGCTGCTGCATGCACTGCTGTTTGTGTTTTTTTT